CGGGCGGGATCGCGCGCGGCCCCGCCTCGGTGGCGCCGAACTCGAGCGTGAGGAGGAGCTCCTCGGGGGGGAGAATCGGGCGGCCCTCCGGCGGTTGCGGGCGGGTGATCCAACGAAGGAGGACCGCCATCGCCTGCGCGTAGACCGCCTCGCGGGCGCGCGGGGTTCGAAACGGCGCGGCCTCGGCGACGGCCTCGACCCGCCGCGGGTCTCCCACGCCCTCCCCGCCGGTCTCCCGCACCGCGGCGAGGAGAAACGCATGGAGAGTGGGTGGGCTCCCCCCAAGGAGGACCTCCGCGAGGAGGAGGTGATAAAACCCGGAGCGCGCCATATCGAGGGCGCCAAACGGCATCGCGCCGACCGTGGTGAGGTTCGCGAAGGAGCTCGACAACACCGCCGCGATCGCCCGGGCGTCGAGAAAAAGCCGGGGATACCGCGCCTCCGTCGCCGGATCGGCGCGCTGCAAGAGGTGATTCAACCCCCATCGCCAATTCACGATGAATTCGAGCGCGAACTCCGCGATCGCCGGCGACGAGGACGCACACATCACACACCCCTACCCCTCTCTCGATGGGTCCGTCGCGGAGGAGAACAAAAGGTGAAAGGAGTGAGCACGGGAGAAAGGCCTGGTGCCAGGGAGGTCACCCCATACGAGTCGGTTACCCAGTGCGTTCGTTAGCTCAGCTAGATGGGAGGTCGTTGCTCCAGATCGTGGTTCCTACATTTTGATGTTTATTTGAGATGAGAGAGGATACACAGCGGAAAGGTTTCTAAAAAAATCAATAAAAGGTGATCAAACAAACATTCTCAAAAATAAAAAATAAGGACATTATGGTAAGCGGTAACTCAGCGAGTGAACGTCGCGCACTCCCCCCCCATCATTCCTTTGAGAGAGTATTAAATTCCAATACCTCTAATCAATCATAACCACTATTACCGCCGCATCCTTGTCAGGACATAGCAATGGAATGGATAAATCGCTAAAATTATTTCTATCTATCTATACCCGTGTTTTTTCTTCGCCACCCGTCCGTCTGTGAGACCGATCTAATACAGGGAAGAAGCCTCAGCGAACGTCTCTTGCGGGCTCTCCCCCCCCCTGAGATGGGGGTGGCAGGAAGTAGTAGCTATCGCGATGCGGGCGATCGATCACGGAGGCAGCCGACGTCGTCTCTCCTCGTGAGGAGAAACTCGACGTTGCATAAGTCGTCAAACTCGTCTTCGGTCGCTCCCCCCCTCCTTTCCCCTTCCCCTTCCCTTCCACACGACTAGAAGAGGGGGCGATTGTCGTGGTATTCGTCGGGAGGGTCGTCGAGGTGGCAATCGAGGTCGAGGCGGTGGGAAGCCCCGCTGAGGAGGAGGGAATTCCCGTGGAATCGAGCGGATGGCTGGCGTAAAACGCGCGCATCCGCTCCACCGCAGGGGAAGCCCAATGAGGGTTGGCCGGGGGGGGAATCGGCGTGGATCGCGGCATGTTATCATACAGCGCGGGGCGAGGGACGTGGCGTGGGAAGGCGACGGATGACGCGGGATCCGTCTTGGGGGCCTCGGGATCCGCAGGCTCGTGAGGACGCCGCACCCTGGCGGAATCGCCTTTCCCTTTCCCTTCCCCTTCCCTTCCCCCTCGCCCGCTCGCGGAACTCACTTTTTTCTCCGCCCCGATGGCGCGTCGCTGCATCGCGAGATAGCGCTGTTGGGTGGAGTCGTAGAGCGATGCCGTCGTCGCCGAGGTGGAGTTCGCGAGGTCGTGGGTCGTTCGACTTTCACACCACGCGCTGAAGGGTTGAAACGGCTCCAAATGACGTGGGGGGGGGGGAGGGGCGGCGTGGCGCGGCGATCTCCCTTTTTCCCACTCGGGAGGACCGCATGGCGGTTTCTCCGAGGCCATCCCGACCGGCGGAGAGGGGGGATTCGTCTGGGGGAAAGACCGCGAGCGCGGCCTCCCATCGCTCGCGCCGGCGCTTTTCACGGGCTCCTTAGGGGCCACACGGAGGTCCTCGTCATTCGGACGCGCCTCTCGTTTCGCCTCTCCTGGAGCGTCCGCGAGCGCTGGAAAGGAGGGCCCGTCATCCACGCCGGAGGGGGTCGTCGTGGGGATGAAATTTTCCTCGGAGGTCGCGGGGAGGGCGGTGAAATCTCCCCTCCCCGCGTCGTAGGGCTCCTCCTCCGTCAACGACGAGGCCACAGGGAGGTTGGCGGACGACATCAGCCCCGTCGGAAGCTCCACGGTGGATCCCACGCGAGAATCGCCTTTCCCCCCTGGAGGAAAGGAAAACGAAGCGGAAAGAGGAGGCCGAGCCATCCCGATGGGGGGCTTTTCCACCCCCTCGTTGGAATCCGCCCCGACGAGTTTCTGCAGCGCCGCGTTCATACGCGCCTCGGCGTTCTTCTCCAACTCCGCGAGCTCGTGGTCGGTGAGCTGCTCGCCAAGCACCCACGCCTGCTCCGCCATGAGGCCGTCGACAAAGCGATCCCGCAACTGCCGCTCGACCTGCTGTTTTTCCCCTTCCAACGACTCCATCTGCTCCGCGCTCGCGAGCTTCGAATCGACGATAAAAAGCCGCAGCTCGCGCTCTTTTTTGATGCGCTCCTGCCGAGCCCGCTCGAGCTCCACCCGGGATCGCCAGAGGTCCGCGGAGGAGTCGTACTTCGCGGCGATCACCGCGCGCTCGCGATGGAGGAGCATCTCCTCGTGAAGCGCCGCCGCCTCGGCTTCTTCCTGCAGCTCGAGAAGCCGAGCCTGCGTGATCGCCTTCTCGTGCTCACGTTGCGTGAGAAGGTGGATCTCGCTGGACTTCGCCTCCAGGACCTCGGCATCGCAGATGAAATCGTTCGGGTATTCGTAGCTCGGGCCCCACCCTTGAAAAATGAAGTACGGCTTCATAAACTCGGCGTTTCGCGGGCACGTCTGGAGCATCTCGTAGGCCATCACGATCACGGCGCTGACGGAAAAATCGCCCGAATGTGGCTGGCGAAGCTCCTCGAGCACCTCGTGGGCGCTGCGAAGGGTGAGCAACCCCTCCCGCAGGTGGACGAGGTAGGCAAGGTGAAACATAAAAAGCCACATCGGCTCCATCATAAAGGCGTGATCCATCACTTGAAGCCACTCCGGGCCCGTGAGCATATCGGTGTAGAAACTCAACATCGCATCCCACCCCCAAACCTCGAAGCCCGCGCCGATTTGCGTCAAATGCCCGGCAAGCTCGCGATCGCGCTTCTCCAGCTGCCGCGTGAGAAAGGCGCCAAGCATGCTAGGGGCTTGTGGATAACAAACGAAGAACTCACGCCCCCAATTCGAAAGGAAACTCAGCACCACCTCCAGGATCGACTGGGCGTCGTCCTCGTAGACGCGAATCAGAGGGTAAACCATCGCGGGGAGAAACGACGCGATCGCGAAGACCGGGGCGTGGTGGGCGAGCGCGGAGAGAACGCCCTCCAGGGTATGACGTAGCCGCCCAGGGGGGAGGCCGAAGGGTTTTAAAAAAACCGCCACACACTCATGCGGCGGACGACGCGCGAGCGAGGCGAACTGCGGCGCGGTGAGCCGCTTGTTCGGCAACCCTAAGATAAAACGCCAGATCGCCGCGCGGTACTTGGACGGGAAGACGCCGTATTTGTTCAAATACGCGTGGAGCTTCTCCATGTTATAGCGGCACGTCGCGTCGTCCAGGCGATCACTGTGTAAGGCGCGCGATAACACCGTCATCACACGCTGCCCGTCAAGAGCGACCGCCTGGGATGAGGAGTCGTAGACGCCAGGCCGCGCTCCCCCCCCGCCTCGCCCTTCCACGGCGTTGACGTCCACCCAACTCGCGCGGGTGTGGGTGGCATCGAAGACTAACGGGTGGCGTGGAAAACGAAACGCGTCGATCGGGGAAACGTTTGCCCTTCGAAGCGCCGAAACCCCCTTGATTTCCTCGGAAGGACCCCCTCCTTGACGAGGGCGGGGCTCCCGATCCCCGACCGTGCCGGCTTCTCCTCCATCCTCCTGCGAGCCTTTAAGAAAAGGAAGCACCTTCACCCCTTCAAGCGGGGTGGTTTCTAAGCTATTCGAACCCGCCACCGCCACCCCGGGCGCTCCATAAAGCCGCTGTTGCCTTTTGGCGTGCTCCAGGGTGGTGGGGAGGTGGAGGTAGACGAGCTCCGTTTCACACCAAAACGCCCCGATCGTGAAACCCCCCGAGGGCACCGCTAACCGCCACCCGGCGGGGTTGCCAAGCGGCCGCTCCAACGGCTGCGGCGGCGCGAGGACGAATATTTGATGATACAAAAGCTCCTTTGAGGCTGGGGTGGCCACGCCGATGACTTTTCGACTTGCCAACGTGCATAAAACGAGAATTTCGCTCACGATCGCCACCTGCAGGACGGCATCAGCGCCAGAGGCGGCGGGGTTCCCCCCCAGATGCAAATCCAACGCGCTCCTCCCGCTCAGCGTTTCCCCTTCCATCATCGCGATCGTGGCGCCGCCTCGACTGCCGAGCACCACAAATCGCGCGCAGGCGGCCATGCAGCCGGGCAAAAACGGCAGCGTCTCCACGCATCGCTGGAGGATCAACCCCCCACACCCCACTCGCCGCTCTTCCCCTCTTTCGCGCGGCCGATGCGGGTTGTCACCTTCGTTGAGCCCCCACTTTGAAACGACGCCGTTCGTCTCCAACGCGAGGAGGCAAAGGCGCCCGTCGTGAAAAAAACCCGACGCCGCGAGAAACCCCCCGGGCCGGCGATCCGTCTGAGGCGAGGAGGAAATGGTGCGAA